TAGTTTTCCGCGAGGGAAGAGGCAGGTTCATTGATCAGGGACCTCAGGCGATGCCGAGGATTATCCAGCACGTCTTGAGACGAACCCTCCCCAGCAGGAAATAATCGCTCCGCAGCAGCGGAACCTTGAAATTCCTTGCGGTTAAAGAACTGTCATCCGCCCTTCCATTATTTCCTATTTACCGTATGTATGATTTTTTTCCCTTCGAGGAGCACTTTGACTATCTGCCATCATAGTCCGATGATCTTTGATGAGTTCCCTAAACCCGGCATGAATGGAAAGTTCAGTCATCTCGCCGCCGGAAATGGATTTTACTCTCGCAATTACCGCTAGCTCCCCTTGTTTTGATCGATTGTCATTTTTCTTTCTGATGAATTGTTCAAGTTAGCGTCTAACACATCGGTGGAACTAAATTAGAACTGAAACATTGGCCCATCGTGTGATTGCATCAACACAGAAGGTCGAGGAACACGACAATTTTCTGAACTCCTATATACAGTATCTTCCAAAACATGGTGAATTGAATATTTGGCCAATGGCTGCATTTCCACTTCCAAGCATTGAAAATCATGCTCAAGGAAGAATATTTTTCATTTGAAAATAACGGTGACATGATCCTTGAACATTTGCGTGAAATCTTCAGGAGCATTTTCCATATGAATGACAGAGAATCAAGGGAAAAAAATTCAAATGGAAGATTTCAATTGGCGATTTGTCCTGCAAGTGATTCTTTTTGTCCCAAAATTTCAGCAATATATTGGAGTTCTGATTAGTCGAATTCCTGGTTGATTCAAGTATCAATCTTTCTAGTGAAATCAGAGAAGCGCACAGTATAAAAATGTAAAGATATAAAAACGAACCAGGGTGAACGAACTCGAACTAATACCACTAATAAGAAAAATATTAACGGCAGCAAAAAGTACCCTGGAAATTACAAAATGGCCCTTTTGCAAAAATTACTCAGCGAAAGTCTCTCAATGACTAACTAAAATATTTGTATATATACAATCATTTTTTTTAATGGTGGATTCTTTTATGATTGAAATATTTCTGCTGATGGCGTCCTATTTCCAGTCCTGGGTGTTCCTCAGCGAAGAAGGATTGTCGTCCGGAAATATGTCTAATCGACCTAATTCCCCTGGTATAAGAAATGCAGAACTGAATTCATCCAAATAAGTGGGGAAGTCGTTTCAGATTCGCTCGGATGCACATTTTGTTTAAAGAACCTTTGTGAAAAATGCAAAGCACGGTTGGAATTCAAAATTTTTTGTGGTAATTTGTCGCACGAACCTGTTTGCATGCCTGTTATGTACCCTCAGATATTTTCCTGTAATTCGAACCATACACATGAGGGTTTGAAGTTCACCCGTTCCCTTCTCTTGGGATCCTCGTAAGTTCACGCAGCGTGATTTGTTTACAACCGGTGGGTTCAAAAGTCCATTAAATATTATTCTACGACGCGTAGATTATACTGTAGTAAACAATAATAGTCAAGAGAGGCCAATCCTTTTAGAATTTGGAAGATCAAGTTTTAATTCCCCTCGGATGATTGACACAAATTGAGGCGTGATAAGAAGACTACAGTAACAATAAAACGCTCAGATATGAAGCATATGTACTATTACGTAACGTGCCAGACTGAAGTACGGCAAGTTCATTTCAAAAACACACGATTAATAAAATCTTCGGTAGAAGATTTCTAAAAGTTCTATGCAAAGTGGATGTGGATAAATATGTATCCTGGCTTCTAATACATTCTTTACATTTATTTATCCTTATATAGATTTTTTTTTAACTACAGGGGATTCGAAAATTTCTTAAATTCGCGATAATTAACCCCTGCGGAGACTCGAGCACAAGATATTTTCAAATGCTTTCACTGCATCTTCAAGACTTCCCATTTAGAAAATCCCCGGAAATTCACTCGAAAATGGAGTCGGGCTGCCCAGAATTTTTCGTTGAAGAATATCGCACCTTCTTAAAAATCCCCAGGATATTTTTACCCAGGCAATCTGCCGAAAGTGAGCGGAAATACCTGAGCTTTTGTTCCCTCGAACATGAAAGGATTCGTTGCAAGCATGCTGTGCGAACATTAATTTATGCGACAAAATAAGAAAGAATCTGTTTATTCCATAGCAAGCACATTATTAATGTTCCTAGCTTTGGCTCGTGGGCCGCATATTTTCTTTTTGTATCGTCGAAAAGAAAAGGCTTCAGTCATTGATGCAGCAACAATGAAGGTGAAGCTTTATGAATTAACATATACTGCATGTTGGATCACGAATATATAGTATACCACGCATATATTTGATCACGAATTTTGTTGACTGCTCTCAATGTCCGAAGGTTTTTCACGACACGGACAGATAATTGGTCCTTCCGTCACTCGTATTTATCAGCGGGACGTTTGTAAAATTACACAATTTTCTTTAAAATTAATTTAAGGTTCCTACTAATGATTTCGTTAAACTCTTGGCTAATCGTATGTGAAAATGATAATTTATTTCGAGGAATCTTGCTGGCTATAAGGTCGCGAATAAATGGGATCGAATGACCAAATAAAGATATTTTTTTCGTTGCAAAAGTCAGACGGTCAAGGTTTTGATTTTATTAGGAATACCCTGACATCACGATGAAAACGATTATGTGAAGATTTGCTGATTTTTTTTAATATTCGAGTTTAACTCATCACAGAATGCGTATTCACATAAAGTATTTTCGGGTTTGTAGAACCTGTACGCAAAATGTATAAACCACGAAATCTATCATATAGCGATTTCCCCGAAGCACAATTGTGCATCGAACCTCAAAATATTTCGAAAAGTTGCCCGTGTATTGAAGTGAAACTTGAGCCATGCTTTACAGATTCCGTGGGACCACCACCACCATTTGCTTCCACGTCTGAAAGCACTTGTTGTTCGGCAGCAATGAAATATAAGATTCAATTTCATTTTCAATCGGCCTATAGTGCACGCATACATTTACACGAATGAAAGAGTGTCAATGAAAGAGGCGTCGATTCATCCAGCCTTCGGCAAAATAAATGTGCCATTTTACTTCATTCAATCTGGAATCCATGTGAGAAGCTTTATAAAAAGAAGAAAAAAATGAAATAGACTTCAGGCAGAAAATTCCGTTCTTCGCATTTTCTTGGAATCGCTCATGGACATTCCCTTTGATTCAAGCAGAGCTGGGGATGGGATAGGGGACATGCAGGTACAATACCACGTTTTCTCAGAAAATAATACGCGCCTTTTTCACATTCTTTTTAAAACGTGCTAAGCTCATCATGTGGTTCGAGTTTTTTTTATAATAAAACAGGAAAAAAAGAATTAGGAACCAAGTGAATTCCGAATGTTTTGAAAACGGGGGCGGAGGCATTTTGAAAGGATTTGCGGGATGTTATTCAAGGCACAAAGCAGAGGAATTGGAGGTGAACGAAAGATTTGCAAAATCATTAAAAAAAATGCGTGAAAGCGATTTGCAAAAGGATTTTTTTCCTCCAAGTGACCGAAACTCGTCTTTCCACGCATGCATAATAAATTGCCATTGTTTTTTTTTCAGGGGTAGGTAAAGTCTAAATAATTCAAGCTTTCTTCAAATTGAACTCTTGAACTCTTTAGAGAGACCAGCAAAAATAATTCCGCTGAAGGAGTTTTTGAGTTGGACAAGCATTCGCTGGTTCAAACAAAATGAAGAATTACAGGAGGATGACATTTTTCTTTTAGGCCTTGAACCGTACATCTGAACCGTATACTGTTCAACGGTTGAACCGTATTCTGGACTTGGAGACAAGGGCACACTTGCCAAATTACAGTTGGACTCTCTCAACAACGAAATTGAAGGGACCAGAAAAGTCCTTGTAGAGAACCTCTATAAAATGGGGAGATACTCCTGTATGAAAAAAAATCGTTTTAAAGAGAAACTTTATTGTAGATAAGATCGTATATAGAAAGAGCCCACATGGAGTCAATCGCTTCCTTTTATAAAGCATCAAGTCACATTTTATTGCTCTTCTTTTTCCGAATAACAGTCCAAGGGCTTTTCAAAATTTCAATGGTTTCAACTTGGTCCATCTCCATACCCAAGTTTTTTTCAGGTTTATTTTTTAGACAGAAAAAATGACATTCCATACGGCGAATACGGTAAATTTAATTATATTATACTGTATTTACAGGAATTACAGGGGCTTATGTAATTATCAATAAGCTTTTATTTTGTTCTAAATAAAAATCTTGTGACTCCATTTTGATATCATCGTCGAGAAGGTGGGGTTTTTTTTTTTTTTTAATCATGTGAACCCTCGGAGACTTCATTCTCTCACTATAGCTCGTTTTGAATATAATAGGTGTCAAGTCGACGTCGAGGAACCCGATATATGTACAGTACTGTACCTGGCAATCCAGGCGTCACAACACGGCGTGAGTTCCGTTGACGTACGCGACGGAACCATTTTGGCGCCTTTGGCCTCCCCCGCGCCTGTCTTTCTCCCCCTGCCGTTCTCGTCAGTGTCGTCATCGTCGCCACCGTCGTTGGTCCTCCCACTCATTCACATGACGAAAACTCCCTCCCTTGTCGCCAGAGTCCTCCTCTCTCCATTCAGCACTCCTTCGTTCACAAGGGCGCAATTTTGCCCCCTCCGGGAAAGAAGGTTGAAAACGAAGAAGAAAAAAAAAAACCGCGTTGCCCCGTTTCTTGCGAGGATTGGCTCTGTAGGGGGCGCATATAAAAGTGACGCGAATTTCCCCAATGGGTCCCAGTGCCTCATTGGGCCCTGACTGGATAAGGTGGATGCTTCTGGGACAAAATACTTCTTCCAATCATTCCTTCCCAGAAATAAATAGAAAAAAATTGAATGCATCGATATCGCTGCGAGTTTTGATAACGGATAAAGGCTTATCACTGATAGGGTTTATAGAAACTTTGTGTTCGACTCTGCTGGGAAAACATATTGAGCATGTGTCGTTTGCTCGGACAACTTTATTCGATTAGGAAATTTATTATTTGCGTTTTACATTGACTGCAGGCGGAAAAGACATCGATTGTCGAAAATAAGTTTTCAGAGCGTTTGAAAAAAAAACACGCGGAACTGTCTAAAAATTATCCCAGACGAATTCATCAGATAGGAAAAATGTCACGCATCGAGTTGATTGCTTTGGCACTCTTTGGGATCGTCGCCATGACAAGCTGCTCTCATTTGCCAATCATCAAAGTAAGTTTTTTTACTGCTATTCAGTGAAATAGATCCAATAGCCGAGTGCTTGAAATCGTCGTCAATTGTATTCCTTTTCGCGAGATTTTTTTGTGCGGAAATTATGATCGAAGTTAAGTATAAACGATGCTCTTCATTGCTCGATTATGCACAATAATCGCTAATATTATTGGTCTTTCGCAAAGTAATTCCTTTTTTGCTATTTCTGAAATTAAGAATCTCTTGGACTCTTTCGACTTGAATTCCATAGCCTATTGATAAAAGCGATGACGAAATATTGGTTGAATACTCTAAAAAAAATTGCACCTCACAAAATGAAAGCCTCCCTGAGCATCTCATTTTTTAAAAACTCAATTTTTAAAAGAATTCTGAAGCTCAATCACACCACAGCGGAAAATGTTTAACAAATTTACCTGGAAAATAGAGAACTCTATTCATGTTTTAATTAAAAAATCTGTAAGACCAACACACCAAAATATATATTCCGCCGATGGATATGCTCCACAAAGGTTATTTTGTTGGTAACTTTATTGAAGTCAATTTTCAATATTATAATTTTGTCGTTCGATTATTGCTAGAGGAGCTTTTTTCTTGCCTCGTGAAAATTAATTTCATCATTCGGGCTTCGAAGATGTACTGCTGTACTATAATGTTACACGATTGTTATGCAAAAGGAACTTTGGTCTATATTTTCCCCAACTCTGTTCTATCCTTTACTCAGCCACTGAAAAACTCGTTTGCGCATACAGAGCAGCCGACATTTGGTAGTGAATAGGTGGGGCTCACAGCTACTGCTGTGGTTTGCGACAGCTCCCTTCCTTTGTGAGTCATACAGACTCATCACTTATGCGGCACTTTGCATCTTCGTGCACTTTTTTGAATTCCCCATTATTCGACATCATTTTTCACTCCGGTACCGAAGGTTCCACGAAACAAACAAGCGCGAATTCGGCCGAGATTGCATGCTCCATCTTGGACAAGTTCGTTCAACTCACCAAAAGTCAATTTTTGCACACGATGAGCAGCGAAAAAAGATTTTTCTTCTTGTTCACGACGAGGTCGACATCGAATTTCGCGTGTCGCCGCGTCTGTTGGTCTTTTGCTCGCATCTGCATTTAACTAGTTCTTTTTTCACTATCTATTTCTGTTTTCCGAGTTTTCCTCTTTTGTTCATCCTAATCGCATTTTTCTTCATTTTTTCTGCGAGCAGGAAGCTTCAGTGCAGGATTTGTTCGAGGAGCAGAGGAAGAATATTTGCGAGCAGTCGATGCCTTGCATGTGGGAGGTTTACGAGAGGGGACCGAGCTCTTATTTCATTCCAACAGAGTAAGTATTTTTTTCTGTTCAGATTTCAAAGATAAAGTTTCCTTTGAAAAGAGCATTTGGTAAAATCTTCGAAGCTTTGAATAATTTCGAGAATTTCGACAGTGAATGAGAAATTTTGGCGGCTTTCGCGGCTACACTGTGCATATATAGCTGTTGCATGTCAGCATGTGTGTCCATTAATTTTTGGAGGAATCAAATGCTCTAAGTAAGCATGCTTTTTTTTGGTTCAACGGAAGGTACGGGAATATTTTTTTCGCTTTTTCAGGCGACACAATTTTCTGGGCTATTCTCGAAGTCATTTTTCCAAAGGTCAAACTGTCAACAGTTTGACCTTCGCTTTTAACAACGTGAAAACCTGCGAAAAAGGTCGATGTTTAGAGGTTTAATCGAAGGCCTGAGTAGTGTCAACGTGATCAGTTTGAGCAAGTTTTCGAAAAAGGTTACAATGTCAAGTGTATTCCGCTCAGATCTTCCAACTCTGTAGCCAATGGTGTAATCGAAGATACGAGAGGTTTTTTTTTTTTTTTTTTTTTTTTTTTTTTTGTTGAGACAAGATAGGAAATGAGTCGGTGACTTTTTGAGCAAACGCGTATGTCTCGTCGGCTGTAAACCATCACTTATCCACCCCGAGTGTCGATGACGACACCAAACGCTGTCGAGGGAAGGAAACAGAGTCATACAGACTCATCACTTATGCGGCAGTTTGCAGCTTTGTGCACTTTTTTGAATTCCCCATGAGAATTCGACATCATTTTTCACTCCGGTACCGAAGCAACCAAGAAACAAACAAGCGCGAATATTCGGCCGAGATTGCATGCTCCATCTTGGACAAGTTCGTTCAACTCACCAAAGTACAGTAAAAGTCAATTTTTGCACACGATGAGCCGCGAAAAACGATTTTTCTTCTTGTTCACGACGAGGTCGAGATCGAATTTCGCGTGTCGCCGCGTCTGTTGGTCTTTTGCTCGCATCTGCATTTAACTAGTTCTTTTTTCACTATCTATTTCTGTTTTCCGAGTTTTCCTCTTTTGCTTATCCCAATCGCATTTTTCTTCATTTTTTCTGCGAGCAGGAAGCTTCCGTGCAGGATTTGTTCGAGGAGCAGAGGAAGAATATTTGCGAGCAGTCGATGCCTTGCATGTGGGAGGTTTACGAGAGGGGACCGAGCTCTTATTTCATTCCAACAGAGTAAGTATTTTTTCTGTTCAGATTTCAAAGATAAATTTTTCTTTCAAAAGAGCATTTGATAAAATCTTCGAAGTTTTGAATAATTTCGAGAATTTTGACAGTGAATGAGAAATTTTGGCGGCTTTCGCGGCTACACTGTGCATATATAGCTGTTGCATGTCAGCATGTGTGTCCATTTATTTTTGGAGGAATCAAATGCTCTAAGTAAGCTTGATTTCTTTTTATTCAACGGAGGGTACGGTAATTTTTTCGCTTTTTCAGGCGACAAAATATTCTGGGTTATTCTCGAAGTCATTTTTCCAAAGGTCAAACTGTCAACAGTTTGACCTTCGGTTTCAACAACGTGAAAACCTGCGAAAAGGTCGATGTTTAGAGGTTTAATCGAAGGCCTGAGTAGTGTCAAAGGGAGAAGTTTTCTGCTGTAGTTGAGCAATTTTTCGAAAAAGGTTACAATGTCAAGTGTATTCCGCTCAGATCTTCCAACTCTGAAGCCAATGGTGTAATCGAAGATACGAGAGGTTTTTTTTTTTACTTTCCCAGTGAAGATGATGTTTTGGTTTTTAGTGAATGATTATCCTGAAGTGTGCTTCAGTCGAAGCTTCGAAGTTCTTCATATACTCTACGTTTAATTGTTTCAATTAACGAGATTACGAGAAGTTCCCTCGTTTTCGAAGCATACTTTTACATACTGATAATTGAATTAATTTACCGCACTTCTTTTTCTGCTGAACGTTGATTTCTTCGAGGCGGTGTACTAAAAATAATATTTTCAGCCTGGATTTACTGAATTTAAGTTTCGAATTGATTTTATTTTTCAGCTGTCATTGTCCAGAGGATCTCCGATGCATGGTGAACTCCGAAGAACTGTCGGTGTCGGCATACGTGTACACGTGCCAGCAACCCAATCCAATGTCCAGGAGGTACCCACTTGCTTCGTTCCGCGCGAAAAGGCGTTATTTCTATTGAAATCGAGCAGAATTAGCGGAAAATTATTAATTTCGTTTTTGGCCGAAGGAAAACGAGGTTGAGGGGTGATGCTAAGCTTAGGAGGAAGAATCTCATCTTGTCGCTTTGCTCCTAGTCATTCGATTCGAGACCCACATTATTTGCTTCTATATAGTCTGATGGGATTGATTCGTAGAAATATTTTCAGGAATGACTCAATCCATATCCTCTAAATGCATGAAGCGTAAAAGCAAAGATTTTTTTCATTCTCAAAGAATGATTTTAACTCTTTCGCAGTTAAATGCGTTGAAGATCCGCGTCGGTACAATTTTTAAAACTTCTCCGGCTGAATTTCCTTTTTCTTTCTTTCCTTTGTTCGTCGTCTGTTATAGATACACATAGCCGTTTGCCAAGTCCACGTCGCATGATTTCCGAAAAAGGAATTTTAAAAAATGGAGTAGAGAATGCATGAATGCAAAAAAGGCAGCTCATCAAGTGGCTCCAGCGTGCAGATTTCCAGCAAAAAAAATTTGAAATGCATTTCGCACAGCCTCGAAGAAGCATGTGCTCTGAAGCGAGTTGGATCTAGTTTTGCCTGCCATGTTTTCTATTTTTTGTTTGCATGCGCTATGAACCTTATTGAGCCTTTTTTTTCAGCCTAGAACTGAAATTTCGAAACCCCATTGGTTGATGGAAGAAGACGAGCAAAGTTTGCTCGAAGAAACATGCATGCCAAAATGGAGAAAATTTATAATTTATTTGAATGCAGAAATAAGGTATATCATTTTTCGTGGCCCAACTTTGACACGCATAATTTAGTTCGCTGCAGACGGTTGTTTTTATTTTTATTTCGCGTCTGCTATTCATTTTGTTTGGTTTTCGTATTTATTCTGTTTTGTTTGTGTAGTTTTTTACGTTTGCAGCGAAAACGTTGTCCGGAGTTTCGGGTTGTGTCAAATTGTTTTTTTTTCTCGCGAAAATTGCGTGAAATAGATTCTGTTTTACAAGTACGATATTGTACGGGACTCTCGTGCGTTGCACATTTTTATTTCAAGGTTGTGGTTTTTTATTTCTTTCTGAATTGGGTTCATTTTCATTGTTTCAACTTTTTCTTCTGCTGAAGTACAGTATATCGTAGCTGCTTCCGTTGTCAACAATGTATGGAAATTCATCGGAGAAGAAATTAATTTTTTTTTATTCAATCGAAGAAGAACGGAAACGTGATGAAGGACAATGTTCGTAAGATTAATATTTAGAAATTTGGAGCAACAAAATTTTGCTTCCGATTCTGAAGTGCTACAATGAATTCATGAACTGGAATGATAAAACTGATATTGAAATGCAAATCATTCAATCAATTTCTTTGCATGGTTGTGTTTTGTTCTTCCTTGGGCATAAAAAGACGTTACGGAGGGTTCTATATAAAAACATTACACAAGTTCACAAGTACAGTAATTGAAAGGAAAAACTCAGTCGAAAAGATATAATAATTTCGTCGTAATCGTGATCTTCGACCGAAGAATGAAATACATCAGTCACCGAATTATTTATGTCTCTGTGATTCTGAGATTTCGTTGGAATTCTTTTAACGATCTAAAATTGAAATTGAACAATCTAATGTATAAACTAAATTTCACGCAGGTTCGAGAATACTCACAATAAATTCCATAAAAAATATATATGAGCTCTTGTGGATTAATTTTTTACCCAGGATAGGGTATAAACATGAACAATCCCTCTATTCATGCATGCAAAACTCCACTTCCGCAACACTTCAGCATTTTATTCTGAGAGAGACCCTGAAAATGAGTTCCTGGTTTGAATCTGTCGATTTAACCGCAATGAAAACGGAGAAAAAGGCTTCCGGCATTGCTTCAGAAATTTCGGAGAATAGCAGTACCACAACTGCAGAAACCGTCCGGTTCACTGAAGGTCGTCGTGGCGGTTTTCGAAAACAATTTTTCCCTAAAGTATGAGTTTTATTTGCTCTAATGCGAATTTTTTTAACAGCCTCGAAATGTAACAAGAGGAACGCAAGGTTTTTCATCGACTCATCCAGGAAAATGTCATTTTTATCAATGTTAGGAGGGATTTAAGATGAATTTAAACATTTTTCTTAACGCAGCTCGAGTTATTCCTAATTTCATCTTCCATTCCCAGCAGATGGGTTGACACGATATTAAAGGTCATTTAAACATTGGATAATCCCTATCTGGCCAATCATATTTTTTTCGGACCCTGACATTATCATCCACCCCTTGAACTCTAAAAATTCGGTTTCTTCCGCTCATCCTTTCACTACTAATGTAATTGAAATATTCCCTCATGCTGGAACTGAAAATATCTCAGGAATCTTGATCACTCAAAATCATACTTCTCACTAGAAAAAAAAAACGTTCCTCGCGAGATTTCAAAATTGTGATTCCCGAATTAATTTCCGGTTTAAATCTCAACATAAATGTTTCATGAGATTCTCGCTCATACACCTTATTTTTGTTGTTAGTCACTTTAAGTAGCAGGTATTTCACTAATGGTAAGTCGGTCACTAAAACATCGCACGGGAAAATACGGTAAAGCAGGTTTGTCCGAAGAATGAAGGTGATCTATCGATGTGTTCACAAAAAAAATCATTGCAAGTTTCCCACGGCCCCTTTGACCTCGTGAGAGGGGAAGACGAGGAAATTCAAGACCTCGGGAGGGTTCTTTCTTGTTGTGTTCTGCTGCTTGCGGTTTCTTTCGTTTTTGGGACAAAGAAGGCGAACATATGTGCAGCATAAATCTTCCGACAAACGGAGTTCGTTGGGTTCAAAAGCTGCAGGTGTTCGCCGAGAACCGGAAGGAAATTTGAGCGGCTTCAGAAAGTGCTATTCTGTTTTCTCGGTCGCTGCGACATCAACACGGGTGGAAAAGACTGCGTTTGCCCCAATGAGAGCTCTTTGTCAAGAAGAAAATGTCTCACAGCAGTGAAGGTAGCTATTTGTGTTGTACGGAAAAAAACATTTGGAGGCCTAATTTTGGGCTCTAAATCCAGCCCAGATTTCCTCGTTCTCGAACCAAAACAAAAATGTTTTTCTAATTTATTTTTAAACTCAATCGGGTTTTCTCAGATTCATCATTCAACGAAAGAAGAGACAATTTCAACAGTTCCCGGGGGGGGGGATTAAGGGAAGCAAAATTTTACCGCCGCAAAAAACTCATTCGCTCGTTCGCTTCTCTGTCCTGTCGACGAAGTCGCTGACACTTTCTTTTTGGAAAAATTTCAGACAAGCTTGAACGTTTGAGAAAATATCACTCTAAATAACGAAAACCTTTTGAATGGCAGAAATTTTTGCGATACAGTATGCTTTTGGCCGTATGCGTAACAACAACCTCCACGAAAATCCCCTCATGTAATGAAAGCTTATACTGTATCACAATTTTTTATCCTTGTACAGTACAATATAACGATCCAAACGCGCCTTTCCCTCATTTAAAGACATTTAAACGCATGTAAACGTGGACAGAATTTGAAAAAGAATTGTCAGCTTTAACTTTGTATATTTTCAAATATCATGTGATGATTTGCGCGAATCTGGAGATACTGAAGCTTGAAGATTGGTTCATTTTTTTCGGGTCCACCCTCCACATGGACATGGGGTAATCCTTCGAAGGTATGTCTTCTAGCATTTAAACCGGGTTCGAAAATTTAAAAAAAAATATATATATAAAGAAATGATCGGGTGTCTCAGAGAAAAATAAGTGTCATTTTTTAAGGAAAATTTTTAAAAAAGTATGCTTCCTCATGCTTTTTTTGTCTTTTTATTTTTAAAGAAGATGCATAAAAAAACATGCCGTGCTGTCTTAATTGATTTGAACCCACATTGAGGCAAGAAACTGAAAAGGGGTGATCTTTAATTTCTTCTGTTGACGGTTTAATACGCCTAATCTTCGGAAGCTATCTTTCCAGAAAAGCTTAAAATGCTCATACTGCACAGTAAAAATTTGGAGAATAAATAAGCTTGGAATATCCATTTCGATTAAAATAAAAATTAGATAAGATGTACCAGTGACAATTTATCATGATTTATATGTTATAGATTTCATACTCCGATGAAAGCCGATGTACGTACCGTAAATTCGTTAAAACGGCACAAGACTTTTCGCTCGTTCCGATTCAATTCAAAGTTAATGACAAGCGTTCATGTTTATCAAGTATATTAAAATAAATCAATAAAACTAAGGTGACCTTTTTTTCGAGAACGTCGAGCCATTTCACATGCATAATTTTCGGAATTATAATGGAACTAACATACATTTTGCGGGAAATATTTTATTTAAATTTAGAATCGACCGAAATTTGAGGTTTTCTTCTGAAGATCCGGCAGCAATACTCACAATTCACGAAATGTTGTAGGAAAAGGATTTGAATTTTTTAGTTTATTCATCTGGTTCTTTATTCAGCATAGCTCCAGTTTTTGCCAATCCCAAGGCTCAAAACTAAAATGAACAAAAATAATAAAACTTGAGTTTAAATTGTACTGTATCTCGAGAAAAGGTACGTGCGTCTTCCAAAATTGGTAGAATTACTTTCTGATTCGGAAACCGCGAAAAAAAATTGCTGCAAATTTGAAAAGATCACTCAACTATGAAAATAATTTTTATCTCTTTCAGTTGTATTCATCATCATTATTATCCACGTTTCTATGTGCATTACTACTTCGCCGGCAGCAATAATGAGCCTGCAAAAATTAAAAAAAAAATCTCCGCTGATTTGAACATTGCATTTTGCATGCATCCCCGCAATTTTTTTTAATGCGGAAACTTCTCAAAGCTTCTAGGTACACCAGGCGCTCCATCTGTGACTTTCGAGAACTTTCGAAAGCACCCCTCACACGCGTTGTTCCAGCGGAAGCAAGCACAGACTTCGTATATTTTTTCGTGAATCAAGTCGTATCGTCATCAATTGCGACGCAGCCTAGTTTTAAAGTTCAAATGACGAAGAATTCCTTGAAGAATAACGAGGTATCCGATGTCATTTACAGTATATACACCCGCGGCTGTGGTTGCTCGGGTTTCATGCCAATGAACGAGACTCGTTTGGACTCGCGTCTGCTGCATCAGCGTAAGAGACGAGCGAGTCCCGGCCTGCACATATACTGTATCTATACACGCGAGCTGCGCGAACTGGCATGGCGCAAAAAAAGGCCGCGCTTCATTGAAGCGCGCGACACACAGGAAGTACTGTATATGTGGGGCTCGTCCGAGACCTGCGCGTTTCGACTCGTCCGCTAGAATATAATGACGCGTGAAACGTGACGCGCGTCACGGGATACGGGACACACCCTCGCTCATTATATGATGCGTTTGATGGCATCGAGCTGCTGGATGAGGCTTCCGAGAATCTCAGGGATGCACGTGATGCCCCATCAGGAAGTACTGTATATGGAACATATTGGGTGTGGAACTGCATGTGGTGTAAGCAGGGCTATATACCATTGACACTACAGTGCAGGAATAAAGAAATGCTTTCAGATTCGATCAGGAGGAGTTTTCTGGGTGTGTGCTGACTCTTAGACCGGTGCTCCCCAACCCATGGTCTGCAGACGTTTTTTTTTTTTTGCTGGTCTGCAGGAAATTTACTTCAGCATAATAGCTGCATCAATACTGCATACTTTAGTAGCAGTGAAGGACATTAAAATATTGTATTTTCATCTTGAATATTGGAAAGACAGTTAAAATTATCGCATGAAAAATAAAAGTTGACTTTTCTCCTAATAACACTTCAGACAAATTATATCTCAATAAAATAAATTATTTTAATTTCTCATTCTGAGAAACCGTTCTTCAAGCAAACTTAATTTTCGTGAAAACATTCCACTACAGCTGCTTCTTTGGTTCTTAACTTATTAGTTTGTAAAAGAGCAGAAACTTTTCAATGCCAGCCATACATGAAGTTGTTCAAACAAATCATTTTTGAGTCAGTAGAATTTTTATGAAACTTTGCTGGTCTGTATCATTTTTTTTTTTTGTAGGCCTGTGGGCACAGAAAGGTTGGGGACAAACCCTGCTTTAGACCAGTGCTGCTCAACTCTGATGTTGTCAAGGGCCACATGAATACATGATTTCATTGTGGGCAAAAGCCTCGTTGATGAGGTGGAGAAATAGACAATTTTTGAGCTTCTTCCAAATTTGTCCCTTGTATATGGAGGAAAAGTTGCAAGTTTATTTCAGTGCTATGCATTTAATCTCAAGCATAGCTTTATAAAAGTATTTATTGGTGGAGCAACATTTTGCGTTTTTAAATTAATCTTTCAATATCTATTTTGAATAGTGAAGGCTACAACCTTGAAAATTACAGGGATGGGACCGCGGGATGGAAGCAGAGTCTCTGCGGGCCAGATCTGGCCGCGGGACACATGTTGGGCAGCACTGCTACTCATCTGGATGTTTACAGGACAGTATAACGCTGGGAGTTACTTGGGCTGTCCACAATGAAATCCAAATACAATGGACCACCTCATAGCGAAAATTAAAAACCGGATCAAAAAATCAGTTCCTGTATTATTTTATTCATGCGCTATTTTTTATACTGAAAATAGAACAATATTACTTGAGAAAATGAAGCTTGTATTGTTTGCTTTGCATTTGCATTGGCAGAAACATATGTGTGCAAAAGACGTTTTTTGTGCGAGCCACTTTTCTTCAAGTAACATTTCTGTTGAAGATTTTTAGACAAGTACTTTCTCTACAATTATTTTTTCGGCATAAAAAAAAACGATTTTGGGTCCCATACGGGTTCTCTGAATAAAAAAGTTTGTAAAATATTGTTCATCAGTACTCACGAGTACGACCACTGGTCAACGAACCCTTGAACCCCTTGAACCTCGACACGAGTCTGTTCATTGTCTGAAAATATAGGCTTCACAATTTTTTTGTAGCAACTGCGTTTTCAATCATTGATAATTTAAATAAATTATTGATTTGACTGCTGTATTTCCGCATATAGTGATTATGAACATTTTACTTTTCGACGAAATGCATTTTCAGAATTCGGTAGATCCCGATCCATTAACTGCTGTTATCTTATGAAGGCAGATAAGTCCAAATGGGAGATTCAAAGCCTCGGAAATTTTACTTTTCTTTTGAAGACACATCGTTTATCTCTTGATAATGGTGGATTCTGCTGGAATTTTTCAACTTTATTTTTTTTCATTTTTTACTCTAAAAACCTTTAGTTATAGTGTAAAGTGACGAGATGCACGCAGAGCTTTTGCGACCAGCGAGTGAGCTCACGTGAAGAAAAAAAAATTGTAATGCCCATTTCATTTTGTTGAGATTAGCTTTTCAATAATGGCCTGAGATTTTCACGGATGAAAACCTTTTGGCAAACAAAGAACCTTTCCGGACGATAATGCTCGGGAAATTCATTTCTGTGAGAACAAAATAAGAATGTTTGCAAGCACAGGGATTTTTTTTTGCATCTGTTTTGAATCTTGAAGTTTGAGATACTGATGCGGATCAATGGTACAAGCAGCACATATACGCCTACTAAAGATTTAATATTGAAGTCGATTAGAACAAGTCGTATAATCGTTTCTTTCCTTTTTATATCACTGAAATTTTCAGGTTTATAACAACGCAAGGTGATATTTTCAAAATATATTCCATAAATATCGGGCTTCATTAAAATTGCATCTACATTTTTAACTAAATATTTATGCCAAAGAAGACTTGAAATTCTAAAGTTTCCCAAGCATACACGTATACGACTTTTTAACTTCCGAAATTAAAGCCATCTTCACGCTGATTTTATTAATGACCTGCATCAACTTATTTAGCGTAGGCTCTCAGCAGAGTCAGTCAAAATTTCGACTTATCCCTATATATTTCGGTTTGCTAACAAGCTCCTTCATTTGTTTACCACGACGAAGTAACATAAGCTTACAGCTCGGAATCATGCAACTCATCCGAAGCTTCGGCAAGTACCATGCAAAGGCAACGCTTATATTCAGTCGAGAAAAATAGCATGATTCCAAAAAAAAGAGGAAAAACACAATGAAGTAAACACGTTAATAATGTGGTTATGCGCACTTTCATGTGGCCTCGGGCATGCGGACGCCACGACGGGAAACGTCGTAGTTCCGAAGCACGCTTGGGTTGTTTATTCCTTAAAATAATCCGGAATGTAAATTCCCAGGTGTGGGAATAAGTAAACTGTATCCATATATCCTTTGAGTCGGTCGGGTATTTTTAACTGCGGTCACTATGGCTATTTTCGTGTTCAGATAGAATCCGCAACATTAATAGGCGAGTGGAATATTTTGTGTTGAATTAATAAGGGGTTTGTCATGGCGATATATGCGAGGGAAGTTTTGTTTTGTTGTTCGGAGAGGATTCCCTCCAAATCGCGTGTTGTTGACAAGTTTTTCCACAAGTTTCCCGATGGATATGTTGACATCGGGAAATGAGTTTCTTCTGCGCACTGAGGATCTCATTGAAATTCAATGCATTATAAGAAGCTCGGACTTCTAAAATCTAGATGTGCATATACGTTGTTGCTGAACTCGATGACGGCTTCGAAAATATACAAAATCAGGAGAAAACAATTATAACGGAACCAGCGTAAACTTGAACAAGGGCTGTTTTTCCTCAATTAAAAATCAAAGAATATATACCATTCAAAATCTGACTTTTACTTTGAAAAAAAAACAGGTACTGTATATAGTTTCCATCTGAAGATATCGCATGTTCGTATACTGTACTATACTTCTGCGGTTTTCATAAAAAGCTTTTTATACGTTTTATTCTAACTGAAAATAATACTGTACCAGTACATACTCCTTCCAGTTCGCAGCTAGAACATGAGGTTTTTCGCCCTTTTTGACTGCTGGATGAGAAGTATTGCTATACAGTACTTTTTAATAAATCATATGATTGCAGAGCCTTAAAAAGATAATTCATGTCACGGGGTTTTTGTGAAAATTAATGCATACTCAGAGCCCTTCAGACTTCGGCTTACCATCGCATCCGTCTTTCAAAACTATCGGTATGTCTCAAAATATTGAAACTCCTGGCCACTATGGTCTTCATACTGACAACAGACATACTGTACTTTCAGTATTCGTATACCGTACAGCACTTTATTTTTGTGCGCGCAAAAATGTTCATCATTTGATGATTCAACGCTTCCTTTATTTCCTCGGGGCATAATAAACAGCTGACTCAGAAGCGTCATTGCTGAAAACAGGGACGTGGTAACGAGGATCTCTGCAAATACCATATGTACTGTAATTATGAAAATTCGATGGGTCATAACAGAGCCACTGGGCAATTCAGTTGCTTTCTTATAAGAACCAAGTTATTCGTTTAAAGTGAATAGATATAATATTAAATAGATGAACTTTTGAGTATAGACGCATGCGGAAGGTGGAAATAACAGCACATGTTTTAGAAGAGCTGAAGAAATTTTATGCTGAAGAAATTTTACCTCCGTAATCTATGATGCTTCTATCTTGACTAATTTTGAAGAAATACAATTTCTGTGCAGTAGTACAGCACCGATAATAGTTTGAGGGATTTGGAATGCATCATGCTCTGGGTCCCTCATCTTAACGCAACCGAAGTATTCGTAGACTGCATTTTATCATGATTTTTTTCTTCACATGTGAAGCATGATTTCTCTCAAGTTACAGTTGAAGAATATTTAAACTGTCTAGGCCTTACAGGAACACTGCAATGAACCTTAGAACTGCTTATTTTTGCATGAAGTATATAGCGTAAAATTTAAATTTAAAATTGATTAGTGTGCAATTGAAATAATCGTTCATTGATTAGTATAAAGAATTAGCTGAAGTTAATGACCGCATATTATTCAAGAAAGCGAACTTCTGCATATAGCAAGTACAGTACATGTTCGTACTCGTTCGATCCATAACGTCAGGAACGATGTTCGAAGTGAAAGAGCGACATCAACGTTAGAAAATCATAATAACTTTGCTTCGAAATGTTTGACCAATTCTCCCATCCGCTTTTTCCACGATGTAGGTTCGGGATATGGGACGCATAAAAATCATGCGGTAAGAGGTTATTCGACGCTGTAAAATTTTCGTGGAATTTGTGTGTTATGATAAGGAAATGTATCGAGAAAGTCTTCGTTCAGCGTGGGCTTGGTATCAGATTGATGTGTGTGCAATGTGACCATTAGGAGGGTCTCTTGGTTGATACCCCGTACGGAATCAGACGCGAAAGTTGGGAGCTCGAAACTTACATTAATAGCATTTCACTTAATTGGTTTGAAACATCTTCGCAGACTTTTATTGTGACGTTTTATGCCTAGTGAGCGTTACGGCTTCGATTTAAGTTAAGCCTCTTTCGCATTAATTGAGTGATGTCGAAGGAAATGTTTCACATGAGCGGATCTCCGTGAGGCGAAGTGTCGGTCCAGTCCATGTGCTTTTAGTTATTGAATTATCGATTAGTTTTGTTGTTGAAAGTGATAGCTAGTTATATTTTCAGGATATTGAAATTTCTTGCATTCTTCAGTTGCTAATAAATCGATAATGGCACCGTCTACTGAAGTGAGACCACCTCCAGCCGTTGAGAAGAAACCGGCCACTGATCCGAAAAAGGAAAAGGAAGCTAAGAAGGCTGAAGATGATCTGGTATATTCTTGAATTATGAATGATACAATTCTTCTACGTCGTTTGAAATATTTTTGGAATTTTCAGAGTGAAGAAGATAAGCAGTTACGTGATGAGCTAACCATGCTCGTCGAGCGTTTGTCAGTGAGTAACTTCAATTCCTCATGAGATGTTTTGAGTCGTTTCATGATGAAATATCTGCAGGAAAATGACACGTCATTGTATATGCCGTCGTTGGAAACCATGCGAACTTTAATTCGTGCATCGACCACATCGATGACCTCCGTTCCTAAGCCTTTGAAGGTAAAGTGCTGGTCAGTAACCTGTTTTCTGATCATGACGGAGTCTGTTCCATTTTAGTTCATGAGAGTTCATTTTGACGCAATGAAAAAGATCCACGAGAAGATCACCGATGATGCCACCAAGAAATTCTGTGCTGACATAATCTCGGTTCTGTCAATGACCATGAGCGAAAAGCGGGAATGCCTCGGATACAAGCTTAACGGATCAAACGAGCCCATCGATCAATGGGGCCATGAATACGTCAGGTACAGAAGTTGTAATTCACTGCTCTCTATTCCGCGTGTAAAACAATTTTTATTCAACAGGCATCTTGCTGGTGAAATCGCAGCAGAGTGGGGCGAAATCCCTGAAAACGATTCAAAAAAAGAGAAGCTCTTGTCCTTGACGAACGAAGTTGTTCCTTACCATCTGCAGCACAATGCTGAGGCAGAAGCTTGTGATCTGGCCATGGAAATCGAAAGGCTCGATGTAATCGAGAAGTACATTGACAATGCCACATATCCTCGCGTTTGCTTGTATTTGACAAGGTAATGTTCCGCTCGATCAAATTTTTTTTGAAATTTTTATTTAGAATGTTCGACTTCCAGTTGTGTACCATATGTTCCTGATCCGGAAAACGTCCAGCTTCTCCGGACGGCTTTGAGAGTTTTTGGTAAGTTCCAGCAGTACCCGCAGGCACTGCGCGTTGCTATGCAATTGAATGATATGGACGAGATCAAACGAATCTTCGAGGGTTGCAAAGATGTGTAAGTATATCTTCGGAGACTGTCTAGAAAAAGTCATTCATCTATCAATATTCCCGCGCAGTCCTGTGAGGAAGCAGCTGGCGTTTATGCTCTGCCGACAGCATATATTCATGCCTACCGAAGATGAAGATATCAACGATATTCTTTCGAATGCCAATTTAAACGTTCATTTTCTCTCGCTTGGACGTGAGGTAAGTCTAAGCTTTGCTTATCACTGTGAAGGATGAACGATGCTGAATTTTTTTGTAGTTGGACATCATGGAGCCGAAAATTCCTGAAGATATCTACAAAAGTCATTTGGAGAATACTCGTTCTACGTTCGCTCAACAAGTTGATTCAGCTCGTCAGAATCTTGCTGCTTCCTTCGTGAATGGATTCGTTAATGCCGGATTTGGTCAAGACAAATTAATCATGAAGGATGGTACTTCGTGGCTTTACAAGAACAAGGAACATGGTCGGTTTTATGCTGAGCGCAGGTCGAAAATTTCTGATCACTATATTGTCTGCTGCTTTCTCAGGAATGTTGAGCGCGACTGCTTCTCTTGGACTACTCTTGCTGTGGGACGTGAATGGTGGCTTATCACAAATCGACAAGTACTTGTACTCGGCCGAAGATTATATCAAGGTTAGTTCTCGTGTGAAACCTTCTGCAATGAATTGACCATCTGACGGTTTTTAATTATTTTGTGAACAGTCAGGCGCTTTGTTGGCTTGTGGGATTGTCAGTGCAGGAGTCCGAGATGAGTGTGATCCCCCTCTGGCTCTACTAACGGACTACGTTGTGCACACGAATAATGTCATGCGAATTGGTCCGATTCTGGGTACGTATTTTCAAGAGATTTGTTTCACAAATTCTCAACTGAAGAATTTTTCATATTCTAGGACTTGGTCTTGCTTATGCCGGCTCCAATCGACCCGAGGTTTTGGAACTGTTATTGCCTGTTCTGGCAGAAGCCAATGCACCAATGGAGTTGATTGGTTTGGCGGCTTTATCCTGTGGCCTGATCAGTGTTGGAGCCCGGAATATTGAAGTTACAGCAACAGTTCTGCAAACTCTCATGGAAAAAACTCCGGATGAGCTCAAAGACCCATTTGCAAAATTTCTCCCGCTGGCCCTCGGATTGAGCTATCTGGGAAAACAGGAATTAGCAGACGTAACCCTGACAGCCTTGGATGTGCTCGCTGATCCCTTCCGATCGATGGCTAAAACCTTGGTTGAAGTGTGTGCTTATGCCGGTTCTGGAAATGTTCTGAAAGTCCAAAATCTCCTTCACATCTGCTCGGAGCACTATGATGGTACCAGCGCAGAAACTACAAAGGTTGGTTTCAATCTGTATTTCCATGTTTCCTATCACTTACGTACTGAATTTTACTGAAGAAGAAGGAGAAAAAAGACGACAAGGACAAGAAGGATGATAAAGAGAAGGGAAAAGAGGAGAAGAAGGACGAGCCGAGCGTTGATCTATCCCAGCAGCAAGCAATTGCAGTCCTAGGCATTGCACTGATAGCTATGGGAGAGGAAATCGGTGCTGAAATGTGCATGAGAACCTTCGGTCATTTGGTGTGTTGAAGATTGTGATCATGTAATCTTATTGTGATCATATCGTGTCATTATTACTGCAATATTTTCCTTTGTGTAATTTCCTTCAGTTGCGTTACTGTGAGCCGGCAATCCGTAGGGCCGTTCCTCTGGCAATGGGTTTGCTCTCGGTGTCGAACCCGCAGATGTCGATTGTAGATACACTGTCGAAGTTTTCACATGACCATGATCCAGAAGTGGAGTATGCTGCTGTGTTGGCAATGGGCTTAGTTGGAGCGGGAACGAATAACGCTCGTATTGCAGCTCTTTTGCGACAGTTGGCGCAGTACTATTATCGTGATCCAAACTCGTGAGTTGCATGATAAACAAAATCTTCGTGCCTTGGAAATGAATAACCCCCGTTGTTTTATAAATTTCAGATTGTTCATGGTTCGAATTGCCCAAGGGCTCGTTCATTTGGGCAAAGGTACGATGACGATGAATCCGTATCATTCAGACAAGCAGCTTCTGTCGCCTGTTGCTCTTGCTGGTCTCCTTGCAACTTTAGTGGCTGCCTTGGATTGCAAGCATAGTAAGCTGGCTTCAACTCTCCTCATCTTTATGACAATTCCTCATTATTATTTTCGTTCTCAGCCATTCTAGGGAAGTCGCATTACCTTCTTTATTGCCTCGTGACTGCAATTCATCCACGTATGCTTGTTACATTCGACGAAGATCTCCAGCCCCTTCCCGTGTCTGTTCGTGTTGGTCAGGTGAGTTTTCTGTGCATTCGGCGTATTACCTTCAGATTACTTCTTCGTCATGTTTTATTTTATTTTTTACTGGAAAATTCGTTTCATTTAGTCTTGCTTTTATGTTACCGATTATTCATGTACGAATAATTATCCTAAACGTGTCAACGGTGTTATGTGTTGGAAATTCTCTGCCCGCCGGTTGTGTGAACTCCATGGCCAACATTTTTTTCCTTCGTTTTTTTTTTTCAAACCATAGCACGATTAATTTCACACGCCTTCTGGCTCATAAATTTGCATTATTTCGTGTTTCTGAACTGTTTTCAAAGCTTCGTCGAGAAATTTATCAAATTTATTTCCTTCAATAGGCCGTGGACGTCGTTGGCCAAGCCGGAAAACCAAAAACGATCACCGGATTCCAGACACATACTACCCCTGTGCTTCTTTCGTTCGGAGAACGAGCAGAACTCGCCACGGAGGAGTTCGTTCCATGTACGAACGTTCTGGAAGGTTTCGTGATCCTCCGCAAAAATCCGGATTATACCGACTAGGCCTTGGTATGGTGTTTCCGGAACTTGTAAAAATTTTACGTTTGGATGCGTCTGGTGTGTCGAGTGTCAGACTTTCGATTTTGCTGATGATCGGCGCGTAGAATTTTCTACTCGCCCTTCGGAACAAGGCGAGGTGTGAATTTTACGAGTCGCCTTTTCATCGCCCGGTTTGGGAAGCGTTGCGTATTAAATTGCGACAATTAATTATGAACGCTTTATTATTTACCTTCCGTTTGAAAAACACTCAAGATTCATAGCAAATTTGTATATCATTGCAATTCGTTCTTCCATGCTTCAACGCGCATCGATACAATTAATCATTTTCTAATCAAAGCTTGTGAAACCGGATTTTGAACGTTCATGTGTATCGAATCCATTGCATCGGGAGAACCTGACTGATACAATTTTGGTTCTCGCGGTCTAAATTGGAGATGATTGACTTTTCCTGATTGGCATCGGTCCTGATGGGTGATACTTTTTGTAGTATGCTATCATGATCCCTATTCCAATAATAAATCCTGCTGGCACACCAGGCAAAGCTACATAAAAGTACCAAGGACGCTCCCCGAGGTGGAATTTATCAATCCACCAGGCGAGAACCATAGCGATTTCTTCTGAAAATGTTAAAGAATAAAACAGGATGTATTTAATTTGCGATGGACGCGGGGTGAGGTTTACGAAGCAGAACACGTAAACCCAACCCATGGTAGCGTTGAAAAGTGCTTCTTGCAGACTGTTGTTGGCTGTCTCCGTGCTACAAAAATTTGTCCCCTGTTGAGTATAAGAGCCAAATGAGATTATTCGTGAAATGGAGCACGAGGGCTAGTTCATGAAGTTTGTGAGTCTTGTGCTGTCCTCGTTGAAGTCTTGTTTAAAGTATGAAGATATTCTTGATTTTTCATTATTTCATGATCCATGTTCAAATTTCTATGAACCCATGTTGGAATAGAAAGAAGACATTCCTTGTGGGTGAGAAAATATGGTTCTATCATGGTTTCAAGTACTGTACTCGCATATTTGTAAGGGACACAAGAGAACGGATTTAAAAAAGATTAATTACTGTCTACTTTCCTGACTATTTATATCAAGGCTATGTCCCGATTTGAAAAGTTTTGTCAGCCTGAAGTTTGTATCCAAAAGTTGATTGTTCAGCAAAAATTTTTCATGTCGAGGATTCAAT